GGCAAAATTCTCGCCTCCGAGGAGATTAACGACGGATGAGATCCCTCAGATTGTCAATGAGTATAGACTTGCTGCAAGGAATGCTATGGAAGCCGGTAAGTATTTCATGTGCTTACCATTAAGTATTTTATGGTTTATAAAAGAGACCTATCTGAAATGATGCCTTTTGGACTCACAGGTTTCGATGGAGTTGAGATACATGGGGCACATGGATATCTACTTGACCAGTTCATGAAAGATCATATAAACGATCGAACGGATCGATATGGTGGATCTCTAGAGAACCGCTGCAGGTTCGCATTAGAAGTAGTCGAAGCTGTTGCAAATGAGATAGGAGCGGACAAAGTGGGGCTTAGGCTATCTCCATATGCAGACTATTTGGATTCCGGCGACTCCGATCCGACAGCATTAGGCGTTTACATGGCCGAGTCATTGAACAAATACCAAATCCTTTACTGCCATATGGTTGAACCTAGGATGAAACTTTCCGAAGAAAGTTTCGAAACAACTGAAAGCTTGCTTCCTATGAGGAAGGCTTTTAAGGGTACTTTCATTGTAGCTGGAGGATATGATAAACAAGATGGAAACAAGGCAGTGGCTGATAATCGAACCGATCTTGTCTCGTTCGGTCGCTTGTTCTTATCGAATCCGGATTTGCCGAAAAGATTCGAGCTCAATGCGCCTCTTACTAAGCACAACCGGAGTACCTATTGCCTACCGGATCCTGTCGTTGGCTACACTGATTACCCATTTCTTGAAGAAACTGCTTGAGAGAGAGGATTTGGCAAAGTTCAAATGGTTTGCTTCTCATCAATAAAATAAAAGATGTTGAACGTTTAACATGTTCAATCTCACCTCTTTCGATCATTATGTATTCCAAAAATATTTTATATTAAGAATTCAAAATACATTAAATAAATAAATAAACACACTTGTAATATTGTGGTCCTGGACCGGAAGAAACACCTGACCTAAATTTTATTTTACTAAAAAAAATAAAAAAATAAAATGAATATGCGTACCGAAAACAAGTTTGGGTTAGCTACTGGCAAATATGTATGAATTCTGGTAAGATTGTGGTCCACATTTTGAATAAAAACCCAGCTTTGATGAGTATAAACTGTGTTAATCTCACACATTAAAAAAATGTATTAATATTAATATTAATTATCATTTAAAATAAAATTATTTTAATATTTTTTTAAACTAAGTTGATGTTATCTTATTTTTGTTATATATAGCATTATATTTAAGGGAAATCTAAACTTGCAAGTTAAAAAAAAAATTAATTGTCCTTATTCTCATATGTAATGGGGTAAGAGGAGGTAGGATAGTAAGTTATCTCAATGTCAGGTTGAGAGCAGTTTCCGTGGAAAATCTCCAATTTTAAATTATCTACCATGAGACTCGATCTCACGACCACAAGATTAAGAGTCTTACGCTCTACCAATTGAATTGAACGGACAAATCTACAAGATCAACAGAAAAAGGGGAAAAAAATTACAGTTGTGATAATACTGTACTTGGCCAGTTGTACTCAGTTGCGTTTGGCTGGGGTAGTTCTGCGGTGTGGCGCCTAAAAAACGGCTAATAACACTCTCCGGTGTATAAATGACATCGACTTCCTTCCTCCTCATTTCTTCCATCTCTTCTTCTTCCTTCCTCCTCCCTCTTTTCTTCTTCATATTTTTTCAGTTCATCATATTTTTTTTCTACATAGCTCTTCATCTCTTTTATTTCACCCTTCAATTGATCTCCTTCATCCAAGTATTTATCAACCACCCCCTTCACCCCCGTAAGTTCACTCCTCAATTTTACAACCTCCTTCACCACTCCCTCAAATTTTTCACCCGTCACCATCTTAATATCACCCCTTAACACCCCAACTTCTTTCACCACTTCACCCCTCAACACCTCTACTTCTTTCACCACTCCATCTATTTTTCCTTCCACTACCCCCTTATGCCTCTCAAGTGTATCTTCGACTCTCTCAAGTTTCTCTTCGACTCTATCAAGTTTCTCTTCGACTCTTGATTGTCTTTGCATGATATCAAATTGGATTTTTTTTATATCAGCCAATTCAGACATCAAAATGTCGAAGTTACTATGTTTTCCCTCACCGTCGTCCCACTCACCGTCATCCCCCAATACAACCATCTCTCCTTTCTTCTCCTCTGCCTCCTCTACATCCTTGCCAATAACCTTCAAAATTAAATTACAATATTAAGACATTGATTATATTCTTAATATTATTTAATTACATTTATTACCCTTTCTTGCTTCTTCGCTCTATCCAACTTCAACTTCACCATCACTCTAACCACCTCTTTTTTCCCCCATGCACGGATGCGTGCCACTCCGGTTCTTTCATAAGCCGGCACTGCCTCACAGCCCGACCAAAAATCGAACAGTGTAACCTGCATTTATAATAAAATTTATATTTTTATATAAAAACAAAAAAAGTTCTTCAACTCATTTACCTCTAAGATTGCTATGCACCCTTTGAGGTATCTCTGGCTGCCCTTTTTAAAGGTGATTATTGATTCAATCAATCTCGAATGGATATATTCAGCCTAATTGAATTCACCCTTCAAGCCTTCATCGCAAATGAGCTTCATATATTCCTTGTTCGTTGACGTATTACCCGTTGGACAAAGAAAGATACCGACAAGGTATAATAGAACTCTGGCCTTCAGCTCATCCCCAACGTAAGATCCACTTTTTATTTCCTCTTCAATTTCAGCATATGTCACCTTCTGCTTCAAACCATATTTGGAGGCAAGCGCTTTTCAGTCCTTACTCTTACAGACTTCTACAACACTTTTGCCTTCATTTTCTACCCTCAATACGACTGCAGCACATGAGATCCCGAGAGGAAATGAAAAATCACCATACTTAGCAATACATTGTCTGACATCAAATTGCGCCATCAAGGATCGACACAATTCCCTCCGAATAGGTCGATCCCTTACTCCTACCAACGATCCAAAACCTATTTCTCCCAGCACATTCAACTAACCCTTCTCCTTAAGGTGTTTAATTAATGAATTCACCCTTTTAATGTAGCATCTTGTCGACACTTCCTACATTTTTTAACAATATATAATGTTATAGTTCTTATATATTTTGTATCAACGTATTTACAAGTTTAATGAATACCTTATTTTCATGTGCTTTCCTCCGTTCTTTGTATTCTTTACTATCATTCCTTGACTGTGTGATGTAAGGTTCCTTTTCAGCATCACTCATTGAATTCATTTGGACCTCACATCTTTTGTCACCTAATATTAAACATAAACGTTTCTTAATCAATACATTAACACTAAATACTACTCAATGTCAATTTCATTTTACATACCGAACCGCTCTGTGTGCCATCTTCCTTCATCCTTTTGCATTCGGCCATACTGTCAACATTTAAAATTTGTAATCAATTTAAAGTTTATCGATACTTTAATCCAATTACCATTTCAACAATAATAACAAAAAGACATTGATACTTACTAGAAGTACATATATCCACCCTTTGGTTGCTTTCGAGTCTCGGCCTCAATTTCAAAGTCATCTGTTCCACCAATAATTTTCCAACCCATTGACTCCATTTTTCCTTCATATATCAGTTTACGCAAATCAAATTATTTTGTTACATACACTTTATTCAATATACAAATATAGATAACTACTCTTGTGGTAAAACGGTTTTCTTCAAAAGAATTTGAATGGCCACACCAAAATGTGTCGGCACATTTATAAACCTATAATATCATTTTCTACCTATAATATTTAATAAAAGTATCGACATTTATATTTTTCCTTGAATATCACTTTCTACCTGCAATCGGTCACAAATGCATCTTTACTCCAAAACCCCAAACAACACATAAAAATCCTATCGCGATTACTGTAATAATAAAAAATTAGGATTTTGACAACATACTTTTCGATTCGACTGCAGCAACAAACAAACAAACTTCGCTTTAGAAACGCCTTCTGAAATGCATCAACAATTACGCTTCGATTTCAAAAACTCGTCCGTTCTATCTATTTTCAGAGGATATTTAGCTATGACCTTTATATTTTCATCGGATATGTTATTTATATTTAATCGATACAAATACAAAAGTGTCGATACTTTTATGTCAGGTGTCGATACTTTCGAAAGGATAATTACCTATTTCTTTGAAAGTGTCGATAATTTATTACACATACTTATGAAAGTATCGACACTTTCAATATATCTGGTATCATTTTACCAGTTTTATCATTTTGATACCGGTTTTATCATATTTTTACCTGTTATATCGTTGTGGATCGATATATTTTTTAAAGTATCGATACATTATAGGCGCTAAAACTGCTTCTCTTTTAAATTCACAAAGTGTCGATCCTTATATAAAGTATCGACACTTTCAATATATCCGGTAACGTTTTACCGGTTTTATCATTTTGTTACCGGTTTTATCATATTTTTACCTGGTATATCGTTTTGGATCAATACATTTTTTAAAAGTATCAACACTTTATAGGATTTAAAACTGCTACTCTTTTAAATTCACGAAGTGTCGATCCTTATATTAAAGTACTGACACTTTAAATGTATCCGGTAGCGCTTTACCGGTTTTATCATTTCAATACCGGTTTTTCATAGTTTTACATGTTATATCGTTTTGGATCGACACATTTTTAATTTGGATCGACACGAACCGACAAGTTAAGTTTACCGGTTGCACAATTTTTTAATATTTCTTCATGACTTAGACCTACTATATTATTATTAGTCAACATTTCCGGTAGCACTAAACCGAATTTATTAAATATATTTTAATATATCTAGTAACGCCGTATATTAACTCGTCTTTCCTGAGACAATCCCGCTTGGCTGAGCCGTATGGGAAAGTCTTAAGTGTGGTAAATTTAATATATGATTAAAAAAAACGTTATCGATTTTATTATTATTATTTATTTATTTTGTTAAAAAAATAGAACTTACCAGCGGTCTGTGCTGTTCTATTTTGGCTACACATTGCTGAAATTTCCTTCATGGGGATTAACGCTTGACTGCACATTTTAGTTCACCTACACCTTTTCTCATTGCTCTCGTTTTCATCTTTTTTTCCTGGGGTTTTTTGTTCTTCAAAGTTTTTACATTTGGTCCCTTGGAAAATAAAGAGAAAAGAAGAAACCCGCTGCTTTTTCCATGGCCACATGTATGTATCTCACTCTCTCTTTTTGTATGATTTTTAGGGGATTTTATTTGGGTTTTGGTTGCTTTTGAAGTTTTGGAGTAAAGTTTGTGTTTTTTCTTTTTACTCCTCTTTTGTGTCTTGGTTTTTGAATTTGCTTTTGCATAGGGGAAATGGAAATCGGTTTTTTTTTCTTGAAAGACTGGGGATTGTTTGGAATTGGAAATTTTTTACTTGAATTATAAACATTGTGGTAAAGTTGTTTACTTGTTGGTTCCTAAGATTTTCAAAATTGAATATTGATTGCCATTTGGATTATTCTTAATGCTTTTTTATATACTTATGTTTTGGAAATTATTCACTTTGCTCTTGTTAGTTTATAAAATATTGTTAATTCATGGTTTTCTGGAAACACAGTTGCCTTCTTGCGATTTTTTCTAAAAGTTTTGAAACATATGATTTTGCCTGTGCTTTTGTTTGGTATGTAACCTATAGTGGTTCTACTTCATTCTTGTAATACACACAGATACATACTTTAAGATTCATAAAATATCAATGCCATAAAATGTATTATTTGAATAGACTGAAGTGTCTGTTTCTACATGTTAAGTGACTTTCTGTTGTAGTGAAGAAGTTCAATCTGATTATTATGTTCGAATGCAGTATGTTTGACATTTATAAAAAGCTAGTTCGATTACCACTTTCTGTTGTCTTGAGTCTGCACGTTTGCTGTAAATGTAAAGATTCAAATTTGTCTAATATTTCATGTCTCCTGGGCTGCCGTTGGATGACATGCATCTTGTGATGCATGCACCGGTGTAATACTTGAGTTAGCACCTGCCATATTTGCAGACAATAGCAGTTTATTCATGCTTTGATTCGGACATGCACACTCCAGGCAGGGAGAACCCAACATGTTTGATAGAGCTATGAAATTGCTTGTAGTACTGAAATGTATCTATGTATGCATTACACAATACAGGCCTTGCATTCTTTGCATTGAGTTGAAAGACATTAATTAGACCTTAGAAATGCTTGTACATTCATAACTTTAAAATCCAGAAATTGTCTTTGGACCCGTTATTAATCTGACATGACTTCTCTATTATTCTTTCCACAAAACCAATAAAGATTTTTTAGCCTTTAATCATTTTATCATTACTTGAGAAACTTTCATATATGTATGTCTGCACTTTAGTCATTGCAACTTGCTCTTATTTCAGGTAGGATAGGAGCTCCAAATATTAGAATTCCAAAGTTGTGTTTTGAGAAAGCAAAAGTTGATAATTCATATCTGAAGATTTGTCTAAGGCAAAGACCAATTCAATCTGCTTCCCTGGTTAGACGCTCAGAGAAGGCATTCAGCATAGGATGCGGTCTAACTTTGGAAACCCAGGGTAAGTAATTTCTGCTAGTATAGGCCACCGTTTTTATTTTATTATTATTCCCAGTGAACTATAGTAGCCAAGATCTCTTATTACATATTTATATCAAGTGGTAAATCCTGGTTTGATCTACTTTATTCACCGTGCAGCAAGGTATGGTGATATAGAGAGCTGAGACAGTAATCTATCATGCTTTCACTTATAGTTCTTCTGGTTCTTAAAGAAATACGTTTCACATTGTTTCAGTCTCATGAGGACATATATACTATGCTCCCTTACATGTTTCTTGATTTAGCAGAATTTTACCCCTTGGGTAGCAATAGAGACTAATATTTCCATAAAAGCCTTTGGTAATTATTCAGTAAATATACGTATATACGATAAAACAAATACACACACTACTTATGCAGCTTTCTATAAATCGAAAAGTAGTTTTTAGTTTGTTTACTCTAGAGGACAATATGATAGTTTCTATGGTGCAAGTTGATAACATTGATTTCATCTCTCTTTGCCATTCGATTGTCCACTCAGAGAAGTACTTACTGATTCAAATGTTTAATTTTTTTCATATTTTGAAGTTTCCTCATCATCTCTGTTATTGCTTTTGAGTTCTATAAACGACAATGATATGTTAGAAGTGTCATATTTTATGACATTTCTTTCTTCATTTTCCATTCTATATATAATGCTTAAAAATCGGATATTAGGGTGAGAATCTTATTCATTTCTGCCATTACTTAGCTTATATCTACACCCTTTTACTTAGCTTATTCATTTCCATTCTATATATAATGATTTGTTGAAAGTGTCATATTTTATGACATTTCTTTCTTCATTTTCCATTCTATATATAATGCTTAAAAATCGGATATTAGGGTGAGTATCTTATTCATTTATGCCGTTACTTAGCTTATATCTACGCCCTTTTGGTTTACGTCTTGCAGCTACTACAAATTTAGCAGATGACTCTGAAGAGACTAAAACGTCTGGTTTGACTAGCCAGCTTATTCCAAATTCATCTGGGGTGAGTTCATAATTGTTTTTTTAAAATCATTAATTAAAGCATTGTATGTTATGCAAAATCATTATTGGTATCCTTTTTTCACCTTTAAATAAAAAATGTTTTGACTGGTAGATTTTGAATTGTACTGCACATTAGCTGTTTCAAGCACCTGTGAAAAAACTGTATATGGAAATTATAGGGAAAAAAAGTAACTGTTTTTTCTTGTTTTTTTATGTATTCAGACTTTTGAAATTTGGAATAAATATGTTAATATTTTATGATTTGGAATGCCTTCTATAAATGAATGAAAAATTATACATCGAGCTTATATTTTAGAAGTTCGTAGTTTACAATCTCTAATTGCAGGTGGAATCTCTGGTCAGAGATGTATGCGATACGACTTCCATTGCAGAGTTTGAACTGAAAGTAAGCGGATTTTATTCTTGTGCCATAAATTGTTTGACTAATGTGAATGGCTTTTCTAATTGAATTGTTTTGCTTTGAATAGAAGCAATTGCAGATGTTGGAATTTATGTATTATCAAATTCTTAATCGTTCTTCTGTCTCCTCTTTAGCTTGGTGGATTTCGGCTATACATTGCAAGGGACTTAGCTGGAAAAAGTGAACCTCCGCCTGCGTTTGCAAGTCCTCCTCCTATCAGTGTCAGCACCAATAAAAATGTTGAAGCACCTGTATCAAATGGAGCTGTTTCAACTTCTTTAGCTATCACCAAACCACTTTCTTCTTCAGGGAGAATCGAATCGTTCCTTGATAAAGCTGCAGATGAAGGCTTGGTGATTCTTCAATCCCCAATGGTGAGAATCCAAAAATTTAGATTCTTCCCTTTCTTTGAACTCATAGAACTAAGAAGATAATTGTGCAGGTTGGTTTCTTCAGGAGATCACGAACCATAAAGGGGAAGCGTACTCCACCGTCGTGTAAGGAGGTAAATAGTATTGGTCTATTCCTTGTTTTTCGAAGTGTTATCTTCAACAGACAACATTCATGAAGCCATTGTTTTGGAAGCCATCATAGTCTAGTGTGTCCGATTGGTTCCTTTGTCCTCTCAAAGCCTGAATTGTTGCTTTTCTTCATGCAACAGAAGCAAATAGTAAAGGAAGGCCAGGTGCTTTGCTACATCGAACAACTAGGCGGTGAAATTCCGATCGAGGTATAAATCTCAATTCCGATCGAACAACTTGTCTTTACGTTTCTTGTATGTTTAAGTTTATATGGTCAATCAACTCGGATTTTATTTCTAACTCCGATCATTCTCTTACAGTCTGATGCATCTGGAGAGGTCATAAAAATCCTAAGGGAGGACGGTGGTATGTCTTTGACATCTTTCAATATATTTCAACCTGTGGCATTTATCGGTGCTGCCGCAGTGCTGCATGATCAGTTATTCTAACGTTCTTTGCTTAATACAACAGATCCCGTCGGATATGGTGATGCCCTTATCGCACTTCTCCCTTCTTTCCCCGGGATAAAGAAGCTGCAGTAGTAATTTGTTGGTTATCCACTGGCTTGATGCAGATGTAAGCTGTATGCTTTTTATTCTCTTTAAATGAATGAATGAATGAATGCTCCTGCCTCTTAGCATTTCAGTACCTGAGGATTGTCTTGCTGATAAAAATATTTGTAGTCTTGATATTGGTTTTTTTTTCCTGTTAGTAATTGAAATATTGAACTTCTGAACATCATTGGGAATCTGCCGTTAAAGTTCTGGCCTTTTTATTCATAATATCTCCCAACTGTTTGGTTTACAGCATTATAGTTTCTTTTTTATTATTTTAAAAAAAATGAATTAAGAAATATTTTTTACTAAGACGAAAATTATTTTTAATTTTATTTCTTTTAAAAAAAATATTTGCTAAAGGCAACATATCTGGTCTAGCTAAAAAGAAAACCAACTGCAATTGTCGGGGCCAAAAAGTATGGGTGAATATTCGACCGAGTTAAGTAAAAAATTTCGAGTTAGTCAGTTGATGAGTATTATTTTATAATTCAATTTTTTTTTTAAAAATTTTCGAGTTTCTTCAGTTAAGTCGAATTGTTTGAGTTTACGAAATATCAGTGACCAATATAAAAACGCTACCACTGCAATATAAACCTTCAAATATGTGTTATTGTAGTATGTGTTATTGTAGAGTGTTCATAATCAGATATCCAAAGACGTGGGTATATAATTTTCCGGATGGTAAAAAGATATTCATGCATGGTACTAATATCATAACTAGTTATTTTTAAAGTGTAAGGACCAAATCGAGGTTTTGATAAACTTTAAGGGTCATTAGATATTATGCCATTTTTAAAAGGCTTATATCACGAATAAGTTTTTAAAATATATCATTTTTTCAAGTATCTAAAGTAATTTTTTTTGTCAAAATAAGTACTTAAATTTATCTTTTTGGTCAAAATAGTTACCTAAAGTATTCAATTTTTTTAATCTAAATTCTAAAAAAATTGAATACTTTAGGTATCTATTTTGACAAAAAAACTTTATGTACCTATTTTGACCAAAAAGATAAATTTAATTACTTATAAAAAATACTTTAAGCAGAAAAAAAGAGAGTAAACTTTAATTACTAATTTATAATATAAGCGTTTTATAAATTTGGAGACAACAATACTTTCCATGCATAATGCTACAATCAAATTTAGCATAGTGGTCAAAAGAGTCCACGAAGTTTAGATTTTGAAGAAACAGGAGGTTTTCAGTTGGTAGATACGAAGGTTCCCGCAGCTCCGGTCGTTGAAACTTGAAAGAACGTCGACTCTGTCGTGATTCGTGATAACAATGAATGCTTAGTAGAGGAAATGCAGAGCTTGAACCACTGGAATGAGTTAAACATGTAACAAATGATTCTGCTATTGAGAGATTTATGAGTGCTGAAATGTTGCATACCTGCATTCAACAGATTGGCCTTCACTCATTCAAAGACTCAAAGCAACAGATTGGCCTTCACATACAACTTAGTAAAACACGAGCAGAAGCACAAACCCAGTTTCATATCTCTATTGTTGAACCTCAACTGTGTTTTCAAAACCGTCAAGGTATACATATCAGGATGTTCAAGATTGATGGAGTTAACATGGCTGATTTTAGCTCCAAATCTGAGGCGTTTTATTGTAATGGGTTGCCAGAAAATGGAAGAAATAATCAATGGGGTAAAACTGAAGCTGTTGGCAAAACTCTAGTCCCTTTGCAGCAGAACTGGAGAGCATTTACGGGGATGCACTTCCATTCCCATACATGAAGGAAATTCATGTCCATGCATGCCTAAAACTGAGGAGACTTCCACTCAACTCCAACAGTGCAAAGAGAAACGAATTCACGAAAAGGAAATGGGGTGGAAAGAGCTGCATTGGAAGGATGAATCTACTCGAAATGCTTTTCTTCCTTGTTTCATTGCAGAAGTAATGTTGCCTTCACCTTTGTCGATGTTCTTCGATTCACTCTGCACGTTTGCTTTCAGAAAGTAACCTTTTTGTATCCTCTGACATGGTTGATATGGTTGTCTGAACAGGCGATCCCTCAGCAAGAACAATCGTTCATTGTTCTAAGTCAGCAGATTGTCAGTCTTTAGGCCATGAGTGTGAAATATGAGGGGCACTACAATGCAGGGAGCTACTGATTTCTCAAGGAAAAAAGCTTTTACTTGGTAGATTTTCGACAAAAGCTCCGTATTCAACACTGAATCAGAGCAAAGAACAAAATGAATACAATTCAGTGGTACTTGCAAGCTTCTATCAAACATCTCTACATAAAAAGTACGAAACGAAGCCTGATATGAAAGATTCTAAATTCCAAAGGCAACATCAGCTTCTGGAAACTGAAATCCATATCCGAATCCTAACCAAACCTATTGATAGGGTCTTTAGCCATGAAAAGCCAAAGAATTATCCTAAACTATAACCCAGCAAAGCAAACCAGTTCCAAATAAAATAAAACTAAAGCAAATCAATTACTATTCTTTTTCTATATTCCAGACATGGAAGTAAAACCCAATTCCAAACTCAGTTTAGGCTTCCCTATCTAGGCTTAAACAAAAACCAAACAAAAACCAAACAAAGAGAACAAAAAATTAACAAAGGTGAAAATTAAGGCACGAGAGTTTTCCCAAATTCTGAAGATTTTCTCTATATGCAACAGTGGTTTAGAGATGGAGCAGCAGTGGGAAAGAATCCTTGTGCTGTTAAGTATATGAATCCCTCCATCTTGCATTCAATGTATTGTTAATTCTGGTTAAATTTAAGGTGGAAAAAACAGAAATTTCCTTGGAAAGAATAGTAATAATAAAGTGAAGTTATAAAATACAGAAACGAAAGAGTGTAATCACAAGTTGCAAGATATTGAAACCCTACGTCACTGAATGAAACACTAAATGCATCTTCCCAAATTACCAAAAAAGAAAAAAGACTGTCAACAGCATCCAATAAAAAAAATTATGTTTTTCATTCCCTTTTCTAATGGTGGGCCTAATTGTTAGCTTTTGTTTCTTTTTTTCTCTACACCAGTGGTCTCAAAACTGTTAAAACCGCCAAATTTTGCAGTACCAACTCATATGCAGAGGGCTTGCATTTTGCCTTCACAACAACTTGACTCTCCTTGCCTTGGAACCATGGATCAGTTTTCTTACATCCTTTTTAATGGACAAAAAAGCACAAACTACAGCAACCATCAACGTTGGATACATTTGGATAGATTCTGTGCGGAACATGCATTGAAATTGTCCCAGAATGTTTTCTCTGAGAAAACCCCATATGATAAGCATTGTCCCAAAGAGACTCATCCTTCCACGCCTTGACAGACCTAGAAAAGCTCCCACCACAGACAAGTAGCTTCCTGCAACAATCTGATGTAGTCCAAAAGTTGAAATATTAGTGCTTATCAAAATACAGATTAATCGAAGCAATGCATATGAATCCTTGAATCGACCTCGAGGCGCTGGAGATCGGATACTGCAGTAGATTTCCTCGAACTGGCGGTTTTATATAATTGAGCAATTTGCTGTAACTTGGAAGAGTTTTGTTTGTGATAATGCCATTGACAATTGCCCCTGGATATAGAAGGACCTTAACAACATGTGTAGGGAAGAGTTCAGTGGCAATCAACTGGGAGGATGTTATCTCAATGGGAGTTTTGCAGATTCCAAATCTACATTGTACCCTGTAGAGTTAGACCATAAATGTCAACAAATACTTTGGTTTGGGGCATATTTAGACAGACTCCCAAACATCAAACAAAGTTAAAATATCAGAGTTCCTAGCAATAATGTTTAAGCAAAAGAAACCATTGCTGCAGTAAACTTTCCAGATGGCATGGAACGTTCAGATTCTATGAAATACATTTTAAAAAAGGAACCTTTTTTATGTTTTTACATTCTGGGAAGTATACAAACGACCATTGCGTCATTGTAAAATGTGGGGGAAAAGGGAGTGGGGGTGAAATGAGAAAAAATTACCTGAAAAGAGGGATTTGGAAGATTATGAGGAGGAGATACATAACAGAAGCAATGGAGGAAATGGAAGTTGCCCATTTCTTTGAAGAAGCCATTGGAGATGGAAACATTCAGAAAAGGTCTCCCAAGAAATGGGAAGGAAAAAGAAAAGAAAAGAACAAGGAAATAGGGGAGATGTTGAGATGGTAGGAAGCAAAAGAAAATTATTGTGGTAAAACTTCTATTTTTTGAGGGGGTGGAAATCATGTGGTTATTTTGTTCACACGTTCTTACATTTCGATTTTGCTGTACATTTGGTCTCCATTTCAATGTCATTAAATCCAGAAAGTCAACAACACCAATGGGTGTGGGTGTGCATTTACACCAGAAATGATAATTTTAGACATGGTTACATGATAGAGAAATTATAATAGGATATTAATACAAAAATGTATATCAGATTTTTTTTTATATAAAAATATTTCATTAAGCGAACTCAATGCTAAAATATGTCTAAGAAAATTATGAACATAGGTTACATTACAATAATCTCAAACTAATAAAAAAAACAAAGAATTTATCCTCTTCCGCCAAGACAATAATGTGTAATTTAGATATATTTATAACATCTAATCTCACAATTACAATAATAGATGTAAGCTGCATCATAAATTTTAGGGTAAAATATAGTATGGTCATTGAATTTTTCTAAAGTTTTCATTTAAGTCCCCCAACTTTTAAAACTTACAATACAATCCTCAAACATTTAATCCGTTTACAATATGGTCCCTGACCGTTACACTGTCGTTAGTATGTTTGCAATATGGTCACTGAACTTTTCAGACACTTGCATTTATGTCCCCCAACTTTTAAACTTGCAACACAGTTTTCAATTTCATTATAAACCCCAAATTCCTTTTCAATCTCGAATTTCCTTTTTCGTCTTTCTCTTCTCATTTCTAGTGTAACTTTTCAGTCGGGGATGCATGAGAAATTCTAATATAACTTTGAATTATGTGGAGGTGTTGACTTGAATAAGGGTCCATTGAGAGAATACCCGACCAATGGACTATCGGGACCATCAACGATTCAAGGTGTAATGTTAGATACAAGTCATCTTAGGTGAATCATAGATGTTCGATTAAATGCTTGTGAGAAAAAAATGGGGTTAGAAATAAAGAGTTGAAAAATACTACTAAGATGAACTAAGTATTATTGTTGAAAGTCACCAACAAAGCTGGAATTATTTTGTATAAATGACATATAATAATTTCTTCGTTTAATCTTTATGGTTAAAGATTTTCCAACAAATGATCAAATATAATGAAATCTCAAACAACGCATTCACCTCTCAGTTTCTTTCGCTCACATGCACTCTCTTTTGGTTTTTGTTCTTCAATTTTCCACCATGTAAAATTGTAAAATTTACAAAAAAAAAATGGAGGAAGAATTGCTGGAATGCAACATTGATTGAGTTTATTTCTTAGCATCTCCCCTCACTTACAAGAATGTATTTATTTTCTCTTTGGGCTATCTGGAAGTAAGCTTTTCCTCTTTCGCACTTTCCCATTTTCAGCGCATTGTGTGTGTTTTGTTGAAATTTTTATGTTTCTGGAACTGCATGTCAATGATCTGGATATTCAGTGTTAGTTTTGAACCAAAACCATCTAATTTTCTTTCTTTCTTCTTAATCAAAAATTTTAGTACTCCTTATGAAAGATATCCAGTCCATCATAATAGAAGTGAAATAGTATCCTAGGCTATTTTTTTGGTTTTTCTTTAAACCAGAGAATTAGTTGTGAGTATCGACATAGTGAAATCGCCAGGCTCAATCCGAGAGACTGTTGGTACTAGTTTACTGGGAATTGTATTGATTCGACCTATGGTTTTCGACATCCTCTGAGCTCATATTCTTTTAATAAGTTCATTTTGATTATAGGACTGATATATCGTGAACGAATTGGATTTTTTTACATGTTTTAGAATTTTTACAGTTGAATTGTATTGAATTATAACTTTATAAGACAATTCTGCATGCACGCAACTCGAAATGCATCATGACAGTGTAGTATATTTAGAGCACTATTTGACCTTGTCATGATGCCTTTCGAGTTGCGAAAGAGACTGAGAGGTGAATGCGCTGTTTGATATTTCATTATATTTGATCATCTGTTGGAAAATATTTAACCACAAGGATTAAACGAAGAAATTATTATATGTCATTTATATAAAATAATTACAGCTTTGTTAGTGATTTTCAACAATGATACTTAGTTTATCTTAATAGTATTTGTCAACTCTGCATTTCTAACCCCATTTTTTTTCTCACAAGCATTTCATCGAACATCTATGCTTCACCTGAGATGGCCTATATCTAACATTACACCTTGAATCATTGATGGTCTCGATAGTCTCTTGGTCGAGTATTCTCTCAATGGACCCTTATTCAAGTCAACAGTTCCATATAATTCAAATTTATATTAGAATTTCTCATTTATCTCCGACTGAAAAGTTACGCTGGAAATGGGAAGAGAGAAGCAAAAAAAGAAATTCGAGATCAAAAAGGAATTTAAGGTTTAAAATGAAATTAAAAACTATGTTGCAAGTTTTAAATGTTGAGAGACCTAAATGAATGTGCCTGAAAAATTCAGTGATCATATTACAAACATACTAACTCCAATGTAGCAGTTGAAGATCATATTACAAACAGACTAAATATTAGGAGATTGAAAGTTTTAAAAGTTGGGAGACTTAAATAAAAGCTTTAGTAAAGTTCAATAACCATTACTATACTTTACCCAAAATTTTAACGTCAGTGGCTATCCATGTTGGCGTTGGCCCTCAAAATCATCATTTATGGATACAAGTTGTAGAGTTTTGGCTAAAGAGATGATGGCTTTCACATTGCTTAAAAAAGTTTCAACATTAAGCCACTCCTTTAACAATTCTGGTTGCCTTTTGGTAAAAGATTGTTTATGCTCACAAGCTATTCAAGTCAAGCGTTAAGATACTTTAAGTAGATTCACCCGTAACTCACATTACTCGAGCTCAAGCTCGTTGAAAGAAGCAAGACAATGACAACCAACTGGTATTGGATGCTAAGCAGGATCTTATAAGAACCAAATTTCTGGAAAATGATTGCACAAAGCTCCTTATAAGAACCAAATTTCTGGAAAATGATTGCACAAAGCTCCTCATAAGAACCAAATTTCTGGAAAATGATTGCACAAAGCTCAAGCTTACTCTGGTGGAGAACCCTGAATTAAAACAGTTTCTATGATATGAGATTCCTCAGCTGGTAAAGATGGAGCAGTTGCAGTGCCAGATTGCAGTTTGCAAAGCAGCGGGGTAAAAATGATAAAACTTATTTCCTTTTATCGCGAGTGGCAGTCTTTCAAACCTCTTATTGATACTCTCTAGTAATGAGAGAATCTAGATAACTTCATTGACATCATCTATAAGGGAATAAAGGGAAAAAGACAAGTTGTTTCCTTTTTTTCTTGTTCAAGTTGTATCAGTCTTGCCAAGAGCTATAATGCACATACAAAGAATGAATAACAAGCCTGGTAATGGGCTAATACTTAATGGCAGCTGAATAGATACAAGCATGAAACATTTTTATCCTAGAGAAGGGGGAGAAGACATCATAGATGTACCTCTTCAAGGTTCAGCCTGTTAACTCCTCCATTAAACCCTGTTGTTAAAAGGCAAATAATAAGAAGTCAGTAAAGATTTAGTAGTCCCTTCTCATGATACAAGTAAAGCTAACTGGAAAACACCACTAACTCGTGCAATGTATTGCTCAGCATCAGTTCGTTTGAGAAAGTGCATCGAGTGGCGAGCAAAATTGGCAGATTTATCGCTGAGAATTATTCCACTACCTAAATCTTCAAGCACCCTTACCTTGATGTAGGGATCTTTTGGAGGCACCATATCCTGACAAACCAAGAACATTGGTCATAGCAATCTAGTTAACAGTGCCAGATGCTTTATAATGCTATCAGAGTGAGAATAAAATCTGCATGGTGGAAGACCAATCAATTCCTGTTTAACTACATTGCAGTTGCTTAAATATAGTTTAAGACTTATCTGTTCTATATAACACCAAGTCACCAACGACAGAATCATATTCTAAAGGGCTCTGCTTTTAAATTTTAATCAAAGGTTTGCATTAAGATAACCCTAGAATAAGTTCTTAAAAGTGCTTAATTCATAAGAAAAGACTCGAAGAGCCCTTACCACATTCACATCAAGGCTCAGTTGTGACATGTATAATTTCAAAGACTTAGAATGATCTTTGAAATACTGTTCCTCTGCGTCACTGAACTTCTCCTGAATTTCACGTGGAAGTTCATGAAGCAACCCTACCTTCCACGCCAAATCTCTTATAATTTCAGCACGATTGTACCTGTATAAAAATTAGCAGGCAATGGTAAGAAAACGCATCTTAACATGTAAACTAGCAAGAATCAGTTTCTTTAGGAAATGACAACAAAAAGTGCAACTCACACATATGCCATTAGGCAACGCTTGTTGCGAATTAGAGAAATGTGGTGGATGAGTGCTCCATAGTGGTCTGCATTTTTGGCTGTTTGAACTTCCAGTCCCTCCTCTTGCATTTTCCTATTATAGCATATATCACGTTAAGGGGCTAAAATATTTGTGCAACTAAAATTTGGTACTAAACTCTAAACCAAACCAAACTCCCCAAAATAAAATAAATAAATAAGGCATCTCTAGGGTGCATTGTATAGTCTGAGTATAATCAAAAACTTTGGAGAGAATATTTCATTGCCTTCACTTTTCAACCTCAAGCTCTAATACGAATTCATATGCACAGAATAGCAAATATACCTAAACTTATAAATCTACAGGTTAATACAAATGCTTCATTAAAGTTCTAGCTACCATCAATTGTTACCATTTGATATCCATTTTTTTTAAGATAGTTAGAAAATATATAGAATTAAACCTCTAGGAGATGCTATGAAACACTTGGAGCATAGAGATTAAATCAGATGCTGGTCCATTGACTAAAGAATTGCCAAAGCAGCAGCACCTACTTTCAGGCGATATAGTTACAAGAAGATGGGAAAGAGGAAGGAAAAACAAAAACAAAAGGTTAAAGAAGCAAAATAGCAACAAGGAATTACCTTATTAATGACTGAAGTGCATTATGGTGCTCATTGCATTCTTCAATTACTCGCTCAAACAGCTCATTCTGCAATATCACATCCCATACACAATAAAATAAAAAAACAACTAGCACACATCAACTTAAACACAGCTTTCACAGCTTATCAGCATTTGTCCATATATATATAGAGAGAAAGAGAGTTAGGATCCACTTACATAGTGTAAAACTCTTTTAATTTTACACATATTTAGAACCGTTGGATGAGTGAAAATAGATTGTTGAAATTAACTCCTTGTTTTTTTTGTTCAAATGAATATATTTTTATTTCCTATTGTTTATCTCAACTGTCTATTTTCACTCATCCAACCGTCTTAAATATGTGTAATACTAAAAGATTTTTACATTGTGTAACAATATCGTATCCCATATATATATATATATATATAACTAAGAGGTTAAGGAATAGCAAGTATAATGAAGTAGGAATCGAAAAGCTTTGCCAATAAAACTGGGGACTGGGAAAAGACGGACGGGCAAATCGAGAAGGAAAAAAGGTGGATGCATTCTAAAAATGGAACATTTTCAAGGAAAATCCACATGAAAGTTTATATACACAACACAAGTATTCTCTCAGTATTTCAAGTAGCTAACAGAAAATGTTCTCAAGTTTTTAGCTTTCGTGCTGGTAGGGTGCGTCAGTATGCAGAAAAAACTGGAATTTATACTGAACGCGTAAAGAACATATATATAACACTAAATTGTTAAGAAATTTCTATATAAAAAACTTAACCCTCAACGATCTTACAGAATTAATGGTACTTTGGGAAATAAACAGCCAGTTTTCAGATATATTAGAACTTAAGCAAAGAGTACAGTGATAGACACCTAAATTCAAAGAGAAGCAATGAACCCAACAAGCGATTTTCCAATTATATCATAATAACTAGATTTGTTCATCTTTGAATCATTTAAATGTAAAATAAAAAAAGATTTCCGCATAAAAGTGCGCAAGCCAGTAGCCTTACGTTGAAATTGTTGAGATGCCCTTTTTCACCACTGCCAAACTCTTTCACCAGCTCGTATGCCTTTCTTCCGTGCATCTTGTGAAGATGTAAAACTCCACCCTTTCAATTATATACCTTACCTTCAAAACCCAACTTTCTTTGAGACATTTCACCGAACACCTTGCACAATTGTTTTTCTCTTCAAACTGTATATAAAATAGTTATTGAAAAGTCTGGAAAACAGTTTAAATGGGTTTCTGTTGAGAATGAAGTTTAGGGATGTTTGGGAGATGAGAGAGCGAAAGAAAGTGAAGATAAATACAAAAGTTCTCTCTAGATCTAAAAGCATGGTGGAGGTTTTGGCGGGTGATTTTTTTAATTTCAAAATTTAGCGCCAGTGGCGGCGTTTTCCACTTTCCGGCTTTAATATGTTTTGGGTCTATTGTTAATACATTGATCACCATTTATAGTAGGCTTCACTGTGTTGGGCTTATCGTTAATATAATATTGGGTAATATCCATGTTAATACCTCAATTATTACTTTGTTCCGTTTTGGTCACTTAACTATTTTTTTCAAAATCATACCTAACGACTAACCTTACTTTTTATTTTCAATTTAGTCACCCACAATTAGTAGAACTGATGATGTGGCATTTAAAAATTTTCAATGATGACGTGATATTATTTTATGGCGACACGTCGGCATCACCATTAATTTTTTAATGGTGTGTGACCAAAATGAAACCAAAACATAATATTATATATGATTTTGAAAAAAAAATAGTTAAGTGATCAAAATTGAACAAAAATGATAATTTGAATATTAAACGTGTAGTTTAGCCTAAAGTATTTATTTTTATGTCTATTTTAGTGTTTATATTTTAAGAATTGTTTTATATTCGATGATTATGTTCCTTCTTTTAATCATTGATGTTCAAATTTTTTTTTATATTGGAAATGTCTAAATTATTTATTTTGTTTACTATTGTCAAACTTATTAATAAATTATTTTGATTTAATTAAAAGATAAGTGTCTATATTATACTTCTTGCTTATTGTATGTGTCTATTTTTTAAAGTATATGTCTAATGTGTTTTTCATCATTTAAGGTACCTAAAGTTTCCTTTTGTTACTATTTTAAGGCCATCTCATTAACTACCATTAAAAATTGTCAATAAATGATTTACTTGAAATATGACATTAATTTTTTTTATTAATATTACCTTTTCAGAAACAAAAAACATTAAATTTAAAAAAAACCCTAATTTTTATAATTTCTCATACTCTAAATTCTAAATCTCAAAATCAACCTAAAGGCATAGATTAAGGACGCACAGTCAAAGATTCAAGCGACGATGTAACCTCACCGATAAAAATAAAGATGGAATAACGTGGTAAAAATGATTTTCTATGACGATATTGAAGGAAGACAAGAGACAACGTGCAACGATAAAAGAGCAACTGGTCGATGGGAGTCTGGTGACATAATGAATAATCATTATGAATTTAAGAGATTTTAGGTAATTTAGGATTTAGGCTTTCTTAAATAATGATTTAATTGTCTTAAATAAAAAAAATACTACGTGTCAAATACTGATTGGATAATAATTTTTTAATCATTACTAACGACCAAACACTTTATATGCTAACTTTAAAACCATTATGCATCTATTTCGATTAATAAAAACTTTACAGACCTAAAAAACAAAAATAATTTAAACACTTTTTTTAATTAAATTATTAAATTTTTATATCCTTCATTTAGCTAAGAAAGAAGTATTCAACATGAAAATGATGAGCGAAGAAACACGCCATCTAGCCAAGAGAGAATATTCAATATGAGAATGATGAGCTAACAACACTTATTAATCATCTTTTATACCCATAGAATCTAAATGAAAAGTATTTCCCAAAGAGTCACTCCAGCTACTTGTTTGGTTTCGTGATCATGCAGCATGTAACTTTCTAAATGTGGAGGACAAAATAACAACAAGGTCAAGCTAATTTGTTGTCATTATCTACGACTACGAGCCATTTTGCTTTATTTTCGATAATTTGATTAATCATGGCACCACATATCATTAATTATAGTGGAAAATATGCTTTTCAAATCAATGAAAAATAAATGGGTGTTCAATTATAATGTTGTTGATAACGTCATGACCAATGATGATATGGACATTGAGGATAACATAGAGATATTCATGAAGATTAGACTTTTCGTATATACATATATTGTTAGAACTGCCTTTCGGGTGGTTAAGAATTGGGCTTCGACTTTAAGAAAATGGATTAAGAGTCGCCACCGATCATTTATTTAAAATTAAATGGGTTGACCGGATACCTTATTTTACCTGATCTACATCTTACCAGAGATGTGTCGATTCGGGAGTCGGTTACGTCAAGGAAGGGTTAGCACCCTTGAACTGCCCTTTCGGTACTATGTAATTTCCAGTTGTCTTGATTTAAGAAAATTGAAAGTTAATTAAAAAGGTAAAAATTGATCCAAAACTTGTTCGCTGTTTGTGAGTACTATAAATGGTGCGGATATTTGCAAGTATACACAATCGAACAAGTAATAAAGTGATGATGAGTATCGTTCTCCACAGGGATTGGGGGAAATCAAATAAGTTTGTCACGTCACTTTACTCTATCACCTAAGTAAAGTTAGAGATGGTATATACAAATGATAATGTTGTGGCAAAATGAATAAATGGTATGGAAATGGAACGATGACAATGTGGTAGCAAATGGATATGTTGTGGCAAATGAATTGTGTATAGTGCAATCAAATAAAAATGTAAAGGCAAAATAAGCTGTAAATATTGGATTTGATTATAAGGACTTTAGACTTCCTCACACGACAAGCTACTATGAAATGAGTGATAGGAGTCACTAAGGAAAATCTAAGTCCACTTCTCAGAATGATCTTACTTCTATGTCTAATCTGTCCGACATAGTCTACTAGGGTGCCCTATGCTATCTCTAGTAAGGGACTCGACAGAGTGAAGATCCTTGGCAAAATCGGTTGATGTAAACCCCTGCAGTGATCCTATGGTCTAGATAACAGGATATGTCTCGCCAATATCTTTTTGCGGCAGCATTAATCTAACCTATCGCTCATGCATAACTCCTTTTAGTCGAATGAAATCCTAGCTTATCTCTAAGGTGGATAGGTCTAGTTACTATCTAGAACCCCTTGCTTATGTGGTTCCTCCCTAGTTTATCTCAACCACTAGGATGTGCTACCTAGACATTCTCTCGAACACTAAGTAATCTCCTAAGGAACGACTACTCTCGTAGCTCCTACAACCTTAAGGCACTAAGCTTCATAAACAAACAAATATAACTAGAAAATAATCATTCATTAAAGCAAAACTTAAATATCCAAAATAAGCTCCCACCAAATAGGATTAGTTCATGGTGAGGGTTCGAAATAAGCAAGCACAAATCAGTTAATCCGTTCCTTACACCCAAACGATAAAATATGAAAGCAAAGAGCAAAGGGAATGAGGAAAAACCTTCGACGTGTACTGCCAGAGCTTCCCTCGGCCACCACGAATAGTCCCATCGATCTAGCTCCTCTCGGACACCTAGTTCGAAACTCCATATAGCCTGTAAATGGAGGAATGCCACAGCAAAATGATTGATGAAAAAAGAGAGAACTTTTTCTCTGAATTTTTAGGCTCTTGGCGGCTGTCTAAAATCTCTAAGTCTCTTTAAAAGTTAGGTTTCATCTTCTATTTATAGGGGAGAATGAACCTAAGGTTTGTGTTAAAATACACTAACACCCTAAAGTTCATTCCTTTTATGTGAAAGTCGATGCAAAGATGGTAATTGGCCCCTCCATTATGATTGCATAAAGCACTATTATGCAATGACAGCTGGCTCTTATTAAAAATATTCTTCTTTCATTTTGATCGTTCTCGAATGCCAACTGGTTTCGGCATTTGCATTCTGCTTAGCAGTCTCCTTGTCATGGCATTTCCCTTTTTCTTTTCTTTGCTCTCAAATCCTGCACATCACCAGACAACACCTTCCCCATAAAGCAACACTGATTACAAAATAAAATGTCGCGGCAAACAGAATTTCACCACATGCAACTATATGCTCCAAAATGCATCTATATGATCCTATATGAGCTCTAAGACAGTCAATAACTTAAGTGAAAAGGTCCCAAATATAACCTTTTTACGGAGTTATCACACCCCAAACTTAAGCTATTGCTTGTCCTCAAGCAATGAATAGTATTAAGCAAAATAAAATATCATGTAAGTTCAGAAGCAGAATAGTTATATGGGATAAATTTCAGCCCTCAGCAAACTTAGCTTTAACATGCTAGACTAGTTGAGAAATCAAGTATTATCCCCTATGTCAAGATTCTTTGTGTGGGGTGTGTGTGTGTGCATGTTTGTAACCAGTCCATACTTAACAAACCTAAAAAAATTCTACGCAAGTTTCTTGTTTGCCACGACATTTACAATTTTACTCCCGCATTGTTTTCTTTTCCTTTTTGCTTTTTTTCTTGCCACGACATTTACAATTTTACTCCCGCATTGTTTTCTTTTCCTTTTTGCTTTTTTTTTTTTTTTTTAACATGCTACGAGGGAGTTTGCCCATCCCACCTACCATCCCATACTATAGGTGAAAGGGAGCATACCTTCCACCCCCGAGCTAGTCAAGTAGAGTCATCCCGTTACTACTTTCATTCACTCTCTGAAGTGGAGAAGTTAGATGGAGCTGTATCTTTATTGAGGGGTCAGGCGAGGATATGGTGGACGAATGTCACCATAAGGATGCCCAGTGACCAGTTGACTTGGTCTTTGTTCTTAGATAAATTCAAAAACAAGTACATAGGAGAACAGTTCATTCGGCAAATGAAGCAGGAGTTTTTGAATTTGAAACAGATGAACCGCTCTGTATATGAGTATAAATGTGAGTTCAACAAGCTGAGTAGGTTTGCATCCGAGCTTGTGCCTACCGAAAAAGAGGCTTGCGATTGGTTCGTGGAGGGCTTACGCCATAGATTGAAAGAGATATTGATAGTGTTGAATTTTTCCTCGTTCCAAGAGGTGATCAATCGCGCCAAGGCTCTTGAAAGAGCTCAGAATGAGAGATTCGGGGATTTTAGAGTTCAAACATCAAAGAGAACAGGTGCTTCTTCTAGCTCAGTACCATCAAAAAGGGGAAGAGACTCGGGATTTCGATCACAAGATAGATCAGAATCAGTTGCATCGTCTGCTAGGGGAGTAGGTCAGGCAAGACCTAGACAGACGCAGTCAGTGGAATCTGGTGCTGGGAGATCTACTCCG